AATCACAGACCGATTTAGAGGAGCRTATCCCAGCATTCCTTCCTTTTCTTTCTAGAAACTGGACAAGATGGAGGAGTTCTCGTCAGATGAGGAATCTACACCAATTATTCCCTGCTCTCAATCCCAAGATAGGTTCAAAACCAAACCCTTAGGTTTGCCAAAGAAGCGATCGATAACTGTTGYTTACGATCCACCTCTTCCTGAGATTTCTCCCAACACAGATGCCAAAATTCGCAAAGTCAGCAAGACTGATGACCTTCCACAAACTCAAGCTGAGAATACCAAAACTTTAGACTCGCCACTGGCGGTTTCAAATGTTTTAGGTATGTATTAGCTTAAAGTTTAGAAATTTCAAGTTCTTAATCACTTTACGCAGTATTGACCGTTATTTCGTTTCGGGCGGGAGCTTGATGCTTAGTTATGTGCGTAAGCCGCTTAACTGCATTCTTGTTTCTTTTAGATTGGGATTCAAATCAAGTTAAAGTTTGGATCGAAAAACTTTTCGATTCCAATATAGCGTCAAATTTTGAGGAACAAGAAGTTGATGGGAGAACGCTATTGTCGAGTAATATATTAAGTGAGTCATCGCTCTCCATACTTGGTCTTAAGACTCTTGGAAAAAAATATTAATTCGAGAATGCAGTCTTGGAGCTTAGAAAAGGTAACGATTATCATCCATAATTTCCAGCAGATGTTAGTTTTTTCCTTCAAACCGTTAATTAAACTAACTTTCATAGCAATGATGACTTTTGTATATTTTTTCAAGTCAATGTCAATCCTGTACAATTGATATTTACGCGGTCTTTTGCCGCCAATTTTAATTATGATAATTTATGTTAGAGACAGAGAAGATATCATGAGGTAACTTCCTTTTGATTTTCCTACTTTTATAAGCTTTATTGTAATACCTTTTGTTTGTTTATGTTTAGAACCGTCGCTAAGTGTTAATTTTAGCGCTCGAAAGGGTCTAGCCACAAGGCTTCGACAAAACGAGTAATAAACAGCAAGTTAGACGTGTTACTCAATGTCTTCATTCCATCTCTTATATAGAATACTACAGATACTCTAGTGCCATATTGATATTGATACTCTAATGCCAGTGGGAATTCCATTCCCACTGGCATTAGAAATGCAGAGTCGTATCACATCCTTAATGCCATTTATTTTAGTATTATAGTTTATATCTTTTTATTAATTTCATACATAGTTTTTATTTTATTTTATTTATATGTTAGTGTAATTAGATAATGTAAGAGCATTGAGATATTGTGTAATGCTCCTAAAACGCTTTTAGTATTATTATTATTATCATGATCATCACACTTATCAACTGTAAGTACACTGAAAATAATTATAAAAGTTTATTGCTATTCTAAAAAAATTAACTCATAATAAGCACTGTTATATTGTTCGTTTGTTTGCACTTACAATGTCAGTCACATTGCATGTTACTTTATATTGTTTTAGTAATTATAATTTTTTAAATTTTACAGAAAGTGACCAAGAAAATACTTGCCCTTCAATCAAGCAGCTGCCCAAGGACACAGACAGATTGTTAACAGATAGTGAGAAAAAGGGTATGACTTGTGAAGAAAAGGCGAAATACAATACAAAAAAACAAAATACAATGTAAATACCTCATGTACTGGGCTGGTGAGCTCTTCAACAGTTGGGGTCTATCGGCGGACGATGAAAAATCTCTTAAATCGTACTGGACCAACTTCGAAAACGCCCTTACACCACAGTCAAACGAGCTTATGTCGGCGCGGGAGTTGCACGAACTTAAACAAGGAACTATGTCAATAGAGGAATTCATAACCAAAATAAGGAACCACATCAAGGAAGAAAACTACCCAGCAGACCTACACGAGAGGTTTCTACGTGATCACTTCGTCTTTGGAATAAACTCAAGTCGTGTCAGGAAAGAATGCCTGAAAGAGGGGAACAGCCCCACGTTTAACCGTGCGAAGGACTTAGCAAAATCGGAAGAGTCTGCCGAGAGACAACTGAAGATTATGGGTCAAGGTGAGGTACACACAATACGCAAACACGGAAAGCAAGGTAAGCCCGTTGTATCTCAATATAAAGCAGAAAAGTCTACTCAGCGAACATTTCATAAACAATCTTCTGACAAAGAAACTGTGCACAGTACATGTCTGGGTTGTGGCAAAAATACACACCCACGTAGTAAATGTAGGATGTTACTTGCCATTATTGCCATAGAAAAGGCCACTATGCCAAAGTGTGCATGAAGAAAAACAATAAAGTCAATGAATTAGCAGCTGAGTTACCTGATAATATTGATGATGTTTTGTTCTTGGGTCCTGTAACAACCACACCCACCAACTATGATAACATTAACATGATAGCCTCTAAAGAGAAAGCACTACTCGAAGTGAAAATTTCAGCCAGTGAGAAGGGGGTACAAAACCAAGTTGTATGCAAAATAGACTCTGGGGCGGAAACTAATATTCTTCCCAGTTCCCTATACGACAAACTACAACCACATCCTAGCCTTAGGAAGTCCACAGTGAAACTATCTGCATATGGGGGGACCAATATCCCTACAGTGGGTTCATGTGACGTCTATGTACAAGCCCCTGCTAGCCCAAAACCCCATCGGATCAAAGTACAAGTAACTGATGCAGATGGACCCGCAATCATAGGAAACATAACAGCTCAAAAGCTAGGCCTGTTAAAATTGAACTGGTCAGTGAAATCTGACTCAAGCGAGTGTACACCAAACACACAGAGAAAACAACACCCATACCCCATTACTAAAGAATATCTACTAAAGGAATATACAGATGTTTTCACAGGTATTGGATGCTTTCCTGGTCCAGAGTATCACAT